GTAGTGTAATTGACCTCACAGGATTATTAATCCACAATCCTTTCCCAGCCTCTCCCCCTTAAGTTAGTTTTGACCCAAAAGTGATGCAGTGTTCAAATTCCAAGGGTCTTTCTTTGTTTTCCTTTAGATAAGATCCAGAAACTTCTCAGTAATTTCAACATCAACATCATTGGTTGCTTTATAATCATCATTTGTTTTATAAAGTGTAGCTACTAGCTGATTTTAGTTTTTAAATTATTTCTGTAAATAATTTGTATAAACTAATAAATATCAATGGCTTATGTAGTTATTCATATGGAAGTTAATTTATTTTTATTTATTTCCCTTTCAAGAATGAATATATTTATTTCTTAGTAATGTGTTTTTGTTTAGTAATGTGTTCAGTGCATTTTTAATTGAGTAGAACTTATTTTTCCTCTAGTGGAAGCATCAGTTCATAGCAGTAATGCACACTGCACAGATAAGACAATTGAAGCTGCTGAAGCCCTGCTTCATATGGAATCTCCTACCTGCTTGAGGGATTCAAGAAGTCCTGGTACGTGAACTATTCATTTTTATATTAAATGTGACATATTCACATAGATAGAATGAAGCTTTTTTTTTTTTTTTAATGTAAGGGGATTATTTGAGTTCTCACAGGTCTATTAGACATAAAAACCTGACAGCAATAATTGAACTTTGTCAAGCTTTCCAAATCTTAAATACTTAATTTCATAATAAATGAGATCCTCCCGCCCCAAAATGCCTACCATAAGCAGACAAATGTTTATCAAATAGCTATGTATACTATCATAACTATTTCCTTGACTCTGGATAAGTGATAAGCCTTGTAGTCCTTAAAAGTATGGTAGATTGGGGCAGTTGCCTCCTATGACCACTTCCAGTTCTTTATTCAGTGATAGATAGGCAATCATAACTCTGCAGAACCATCCATGAAAGAGGTAGAAGAGCGTATACACCATTTTCTTCACATTTCCTACAGTCTGTGGGTTTTCCATTTCTTTGGGTCTCCCCC